TTAGGGTTTACCTCGATTGGTGCGTCGCTGTGGTTTGCGTCTGCTGCGTTCTCTGGTTGGGTGCTGTCACCTTCAGTTTCAGCTGCAGCACAAACCCTAAAGCCTAAACCCTAAGTCCTAAACCCTAAACCCTAAACCCTAAACCCTAAATAGGCGTGTGCAGCAGCAGGACGTCACCTTCGAGTTTACTGACCTTTCTGTTGCTGCTGCTGCTGCTGCCGCAGCAGCTGCTGCTGCTGCTCCAGCTCCCGCTGCGCTGCAGCAGCAGCAGCAGCAGCTTCAGCAGCAGCACGAAGGTCGCTGTGCTTCTCTCTCAAGAGAGAAGGAAAGAATTCATCTGGGGGGTCTTTTGCCTGAAGAGTAAACTCCAAACGCTAAACCCTAAACCCTAAACCTTAAACCCTAAACCCTAGACTCCAAACCCTGAATACTAAACCCTGAACTCCAAACCCTTAACCCTAAACCCTAAACCCTGAAGCCTTGAGCAGCGCCAAACACCATTCCTGCTGCAGGGCCTTAGCGGCTACACTTTGGAGACGCGTTTGTAAGGGTTTAGGGTTTAGGGTTTAGGGTTTACCTCCTCAGCTTCAGCAAGAGCTTCCAACTGCTCTAGGGTTTCCGCAACAATCTCCAGGGTGCCCTCCGCTTGGTCCTCCTGCGCCCAAACCCCAAACCCTAAACCCTAAACCCTAAACCCTAAACCCCAAACCCTAAACCCTAAACCCTAAACCCCAAACCTCAAACCTATAACCCTAAACCCTTAACGTTAAACCCTGAACAGTGCTGCTGCAAGTCCCTGACGGCCGGCGCTGGCGCGCTGACGGCGCGTCCAATAGCTTAGGGTTTAGGGCTTAGGGTTTAGGGTTTAGGGTTTAGGGTTTACTTTATAGATTTTGAAAACATGGGGCTTTTGGTGTTCGGAAATAAACCAAAAGACAAAACCCTCGTTGGATATAAAGAAAGAGCCGTCCAAAAAGGCCGCCTTCTTCTCCGGGCCCCAAGAGTCTAAATAATAAATAAATAAATAATAAATAAATAAATAATAAATAAATAAATAATAAATAATAAATGTAATATAAATAAAACTAAACCGAAGCAGACCGAAGCAAATCAGACCAAACAAATTGAACTAATTAAAATAAATAAATAGAATAAATAAGTAAATAGAATAAATAAATAAAATGAATAAATAAGTAGAATTAAATAATAATAGATTAAATTAGGCAAAATGAATAAATAAATAAAATAAATAAATAAATAAATAATAAATAAATAAATAGAGTAAATAAATAAAGTAAAATAAATAAAATGAATAAATCACCGATGACATTATGAATGGCCGTCGAGTCCCCCAAGGCCGCATTCAGCAGCACCCGAATACACCTCAGCCTCTGCAGCAAATAAATAAATAAATAATAAATATATAAATAAATAATAAATAGGAATAAAAAAATTAATCAATTAATTAGGCAATTAGTGTATAAAGAAGTGGATTAATGGCAGGGTTTTAGCTGCAGCAGCAGCAGCAGCAGCAGCTCCTGCTGCTGCAGCAGCAGCAGCAGCAGCATTCTCGGGTCTAAACCCTAAACCCAAAACCCTAAACCCTAGGCCTCAGAGCCCCTGGAGAATATCAAAAAACAAAGCAAATAAAAAAAGAAAACAAAAATAAATAAATAGGAATAAAATAATAAAAGCAAGAAGCAAAAAATAACAAGTGCTGAGGTGTATGTACACCTGGTAAGGCTTCACGTCCTCCCAAACGCGAACCAAAAAAGGATTTATTCCGAGAGGAAATAAAAAGTTGAAATCCATTGCCGAGCGGTCTTCCATTATTTTGCAAAGACATTTCGAAAGGTTGTTTCCTGCAGCAGCAGCAGCAGCAGCAGCAGCGAGTGTGCGACGGCAGCAGCGGCAGCAGCGGACGGGCGGGTGGCGGCGGCAGCACCAGCGAGTGTCGCGCAACAGCACCAGCAGCAATAGCAGCAGCCATGTGTAGCACGAGCAGCAGCAGCAGCAGCAATATGCGGCACATGAGCAGCAGCAGCAGCAGCAGCAGCAGCAGCAGCGTGTGGCACCGGCAGCAGCGAATGTGTGGCTCGAGCAGCAGCAGCGTCGTAGCTGCAGCAGCCGCAGCAGAAGCAGCACTACCAACAGATCAGCAGCAGCAGCAGCAACAGATGTACTGCAGCAGCAGCAGCAGTAATAGATGCACTGCAGCAGCAACAGCGATACGAAAGCCACAAAAGCTGCGGCTCTCTCTGTGAGAGCATCTCCCCTAAACCCTAAACCCTAAACCCTAAACCCTAATTACCTGGAGTATAGCGACGGCCAATAAGAGCGGTGAGTCGCGAAAAAAAGCGAGCTCCAAATTCATTCAATTCCTAAACACAAACCCTAAACCCTAAACCTTAAACCCTAAACCCTAAGCTCTAGAGAGGGATCTCTCTCCCCTCGCAAATTCGAACTAGCCGCCAATGAGGGTTTAGGGTTTAGGGTTTTCGCTGCCTAGGGCTTCACAGGAACTCAAGAGCGCTGCTTGCTGCTGAGCAGAAGCTCTCCCGCTGCAGCTAGGGTTTAGGGTTTAGGGTTTAGGGTTTAGGGTTTACTCTCTTAACCACCAAGTCATAAACCGCCTCGAAGCTCCAGTCCTCCAAGCCGATGTGGGGAGCGAACAAATCCAAAAATCGCAGCAGCAAAAACATGTGGTGGTTTACCTTAGCTGCAGCAGCAGCAACAGCAGCAGCAGCAGCGATAGCAATAACAACGGGGACATTAGCAGCAGTTGCTGCAGCAACAGCCAAGTTGCTGCTGCTGCCACGCAGGAAACAGCAGCAGCGGCAACACCACCGCCACACACGGCAGCGTCAGCAGCAGCAGGAAAGGAAGCAGCGTCAGCAGCAGCAGCAGCAGCAGCAGCAGCGGCAGCAGCGCCACCTTCACAGCAAAACGCCGCTCTCAACAGTCTCAGCAGCTCCAGCAGCAGCAGCAGCAGAGCCAGCAACAGCAACTGCAGCAACAGCAACTGCAGCAGCAACTGCAGCAGCAGCAGCAGCTGCAGCAGTTTACGGTCGACTGAAGCGTCATCTTTTCGCCGCTGAATTCCTGAAGGATAAACATCTGGAAGTTTTGCTTCTTCTTCTTCTTCCAAAGAAGAGTCGTAGGGCTCCAATCCATACTGCAGCAGCAGCAGCAGCAGCAGCAGCAGCAGCGGGAATAGCAGCAGCGTACTAGCTCCAGCAACAGCAGCAGGAGGAGCAACAGCGGCAGTAGCGCCCGCAGCAGCAGCAGCACTGCTTTGAGCAGCAGCAGCAGCAAAAACCACCATAAAGAGCCACACGAGAAGCAGCAGGCGCAGCAGAGAGAACAGCAGTAGCAGAAGCTGCTGCTGCTGTTGCTGCTGCTGTTGCTGCTGCTGCTGCAGCAGGGCTCACGATTGGCTGGTCCGGTGCATCATCATCTTCCTCCTTTGCAGCTTCAGAAAACCCGCGAGCTGCTGCTGCTGCTGCTGCTGTTGCTGTTATTGCTCCTGCTGCTGCTGCTGCTGTTCCAGTTTCCGCTGCTGCTGCTTCGCCTGCAGACGCAGCAGCGGGGCCGCTTCTGCTGCTGCTGCTGTTGCTGCTGCTGCTGCTGTCCTCTGATTTGACAGGTGAGGACCCTTCTTGCTGTTGCTGCTGCTGCTGCTGCTGCTGCAGCATGTGGTAGTGCTGCAGCGCCAGCTGCTCATCAAACGGCTCGTGACGCAGCAGCCTGAATTTCCAAACCCCAAACCCTAGACCCTAAACCCTAAACCCTAAACCCTAAACCCTACAGCAGCAGAGGGTTTGATTATTTGCATCTTCTTCCAAAGCTAGGGTTTAGTGTCTGCTGCGGTTTAGGGTTTGGAGAAGCTCTAGGGCTTGCGCAGGGCTAGGGTTCGTCTAGGGTCTAGGGTTTAGGGTGTTAGGGTTTTTCTAGGGTTTAGGGTTTAGGGTTTACTTCTTCGGGGGCTCAAGTATGGATTCTTTGCCGCTTTTTCTGCTTTTCTTGTTGCTGAGGGCGTTGAGCTGGCCAGTTGCTGCTGCTGCTGCTGCTGCTGCTGCTGCTTCTCTCCCCCCCTCCTCCAGCACGCGCTGCACTGCTTGCTGCCACAGCGCGTAGGCCCTCACGTCGCGCTGCAGCAGCAGCAGCAGCAGCAGCAGCAGGTGGTGCAGCAAATGTAGGCAGCAGCGCAGCAAAGACCAGCAACAAAGCCAGCAGCAAAACCAACCAGCAGCAGCAGCAGCAGCAGCGGCAGCAAATCTCCAGCACCTAGCTCTGCCCCGACAAATACCACCACCCGCAGCAGCAGCAGCAGCAACAGCAGCAGCAGCAGCAGCAGCTCACCTCCCTGAGATA